GACAAAGAGTGTAAAAAGCTCGTAAGTGAGGTGCGCAAAGTGAGAAAACGATAAAGATGAAACACAAAAAAAAAAAAAAAATTATAACTTTCTCTTTAAAAAAAAAAAAAAAAAAAAAAAAAAGGGAAAATAAAATTAAGTGAAATAAAATGGAGGCTTATGAGATGGGCAAATTGGTTCATCAGCGCGGTTATCTAACTCGCTTGGGCACATAAAATCATGCACTTATTCATAAATAATATTTTTTTAAAAAAAACTAACAAAGGAAATGAAAAATCATATCCGTGCTGATGTAACAGTTGGGGAATAAATACATCACGTGCATGTCTGCGTGCGCGTGGGTTATATATACACATACATAAAACATACACAAATGAAAAAAAAAGGGTTTATTAACACAAATAAATGCAGGGGCAAGTAGGTTTGATGTGCTTTCTGAGTGTAGAACGAATCATCAGAAAAGCCAAGCGGCGTCACGTTATCATCGGGGGTTCCTTTGTTTCTTGCCTGTACCCCCATCTCTCCACTACCCCCGTCGGTTTTCCAAATGTATAATACATGCATGCGAGCATGGGTATGAGGCATATATACTGCACGCGTCAGGAGGTACATATAAACAGACCAGCGCTGAACAAGCGCTAAAGAATCTCCTCTTTATATTCCAATTGTGAACGCTGAAGAATGGGTACCCACTCATCCTTGCCCCGAATAAGACGCTTGGTGTCCGCATCAACGACGAATTTAGGGATGTTTCTGTAGAGCTGCTCGAGGAAGTCATCAGACACATTTGGACCCAAATTTGATACCAAGTCACGAACCTTCAGTTGCAGCTCATGCCTTGTGCTTATTAGTTCTCGTTCATTGTCTCTCCAAACATTAATCTTGCCACAAATAACTTTTAAATGTATTTTCATTTGTCTTAAGAGACTAGGAATTTGAGCTGCATAATTTAAATTGATATAGTAACAAATGGGTAACATACACATGCTTAAAATTACAAATGCGATTCTTTTTAACCATGACTCATAGAGATATAAACTAAACACTAACCCATACATTATGTTAAAAGTTGGTAATAAAACTAGAAGAACTAAGACCTTGTAGCTAGCCACCACATCACCGCCTTGAATTTTTACTCTACTATTTTTCAGTGCGGATTCTCTATGTTTCTCTGCCAAATAAATGGAAATTGCAACAAGAGGTAGCCATAAGAGAGAAAAAGTCATACCAAAAATTACACAAAAAATTAAACTACAAATGTGCTCAATAAATTTTAAAGTAGCTGCTGATGTAGACTGTTTAAGCATCCACACTTCATCATCCTTTATTTTATTTGCCTTCAACAATTTCTCATAGCATTTCAATTCATAACTTAAATTTTCAATTTCCTTGGAGTTTCCAAATTTCCAAAACATTTTACAAAATAGCTGTAAATTATTGTAAATTTTATTTTTAGATATTGTCATTCTTTCAGGAGTATACAAACTAACACAAAGTTCTATGCATCTGCTTGTTTCATGATCCTTCGACGTTAACATACAGCTTCGCATTCCTTCCTCAATTTTGCTAAGAACTTTGGATATGGTTTCCCTATGGTTATTATTATAATCTTTACACAGGTCCTGCGAAATGATTATTGCATTTCCATAAAATAGAGTAACACATCCTTGCAGCTGGTAGAGTTTCGAGTATGACAGGCCTACAGGAATGATGGATACATCTTCTACTCCATCGGCCAATGCACATAACGTCATGATGGCAACCCCAGGTTTTAAAGGCAACAAATTTGTTCTATCGTGGGAACCCCCCTCTGGGAAAATCCCAATGGTATCTCCATTTTTTAAACTACTTGTAACTAAATTGTAAACTTCTGTTTGATTAATTTTAGGAATAATTTTAAACGGAACTCCATTTGTGTTATCTTCACATTCTATGTTTATAGCATCTTGTATAATCAGTTCCGTTTCGGATTCAATTTTCGTAACTGGAAAGATTTTATTTTGTGTTAGTAATTTATCCCCAATTTGTACGTCTAACTTAAATCTGGTGTTTATTCCTTTGATTTTCTTATCTCCTTTAACCCAACATATGTGTCCTATTCCTTTGAATTTTAAATCCTCTGGTCTCTTTACACTTATGCAACCCAGAATACTTGCTAGCTTCCCTATGACAGCTCTCCTCATAGACTTTTCCGCCACAATAAATTTGACTTGCCTTGGAATATTTGCTACTAACACACATGCGTCAATGAACTGATTATTGTGGTTGCCCACAAATATAACTGATCCGTATAGCGGTACATTTTCTGGGTTTATCACATTCACGTCTCCAAATAGGGAGCTAACTATTGCTTTACACAACCATCTAATTAGAAAGTATAAATCTGGCATCCTTAAGCTTTCGGTGGGAGACACACTTTATTTAATTTTACATATATACGTGCACACATATATATATATGAAGGTACATACGTACATAAGAACGGGGCTGCAAGAATCAAAAGGGGGGGTAATCGTTTTGCAAGAAATGCGAACAAAAGCAACTGTGCCACGGGACGCGTTACTTCAGAGGGGATTATGCCTCCCCCTCTCGCTTGCAACGGTTCAAATGGTCAAACGTAGAAGGGGAATACACGTGGAACCAAAAAATGTCGAGCATGTAAAATATATGCTGAAAAGAAGATAGAAGGGACAAAAAAAAATTAAACGTTTGAAAACGGATGAAACATTACCCGTGCGCTAGCTCATTCAATTGCATTTAGATGGGGAACGAATAACGCAATTTGTGCTGTTCCAAAGAAAATACCTTTTTTTTCCTAGTTCTAAATTGCGTAAGCTTTGGTTAAAGTGCCACATAAGGGATGCGCATGTATTGTATACACTTACGTATGTTGCGTGCATGCATACGTGTACTTACAATGTTCAAACCGTAACGAGCGCGAACACCCGCGCCCAACAAATTACCCCCAACCTTATGCACTATAAAAACGAATTTGTTAATGTTATGCGCAACGGGAATTTCTCTCATTCGAATGCACAGATGAGGAAAAGGAAAAATTTTCAATTTTCTCAATACAAATTTATTTTATGCCAAATGCGTGTTCACGTGAATTTTGAAAAAAAAAAAAAAAAAAAAAAAAAGGCCTACGATTTTACATTTTGCTCGCATGTAATGGTGCATATACATATATGGCAGTGCTACGTGGAACGATATATGGAAAAAAAATGGCCATAACAGCACAGCACATCTCAGAAAAAAAAAAATATATATCTTTACAATGCGTATAAACATGCATAGCGGAACACTCACCAGTTACATACACTCGCACGTAAAACAGAAAATCCAAAGTGAAATAAAAAAAAAAAAAAAGAATAAAAAACTGCGTTGCAGCCTTTTCCGCGTTGTGCACATTATTTATTAAAGGTGCCCCTTTGGCTCAATTGATTCCGAATTTTTTTTTTTTTTTCTTTTCTCCTTTTTATGTGTTAAGTTGTGTAATCTCCACCTGTGCACCATTAATTAATGCCGTCTATGCGAATTTGTGGAGATATATGAAAGAAGAAAGAAAAAATTGAAATGGTGTTAAAGTTTGTATACATGTTCACATAAATAAAGAACTCTCTTTTCTTTTCCAACATTGTGGATCCAACGCAATTTGCTTAGTTGAATTTACTTCGTGCATGTGTATCCTCTCGCATGGAATATCATACTCATATGTGTGGGGTGAACCTAGGTTCACTCTCGCAGAGTTTACATTGTGCCACATGCGATAAATTCTGCTTTGCATTTTCCCCATTGTGCCACCTTCTCCCGTCGGATTGTAAATTGGAACGGGGGAAGAGGAAAAAAAAAAGTCGTGTAAAATTTCCAACACGTTACTAAATTAAAGGAAAATAGCAGAAAAGAACAAAGTATATACTGTGCTTGACAAATTCATTTGCTCCATGCGAAACTGCAAAGGAGGGAACAATGCGAATGTGTATTCTTACGAGTCTGTTGTGAGGACAAGCAGTTTTGGAGCAAATAGTTTTTCTTTTTTCTTGTTTGTACCTCCTTGCGTAAGTAGAAATAAGTAGGAAGGACATGTAACCTGCGTTGGGAACTAAAAAAAATGCCAAGTGATCAGCACACAAAAGTATCCCTTTTGACAGTCCATAATATGCTAACGTTATGTGTTCCATCAGGACATCCAATGGTTTTGGTTAAAAAAATTATTCACCCTGTATCACAAAGTAAGGATGACATCCCCTTTGTCCTGTACCGCTTTATAAGGGTCGGTGTAGGAAGAGAACCACCTCCCAATTCTCTTCAGTATTGCTACTCAAAAGAGTAAAAAATATGAAAAAGAAGAATCAAGCTTGTTACTGCAGTCTGCAACTGCATCTATAATTTAGTGCGTCTTTTTTCCCACAACGCTCTCATATGATTCCCCTAGGTGCACACAAATTTCAGGTAAGCGACAATTATGTAGTGTGCCCATTAAAAAGGGGGGAAAAAAAAGACTTTCGTGAAATTCTTTCCCGTTGTTTACATGTACCGTTCTACACGAACTGCTAATAAATATTTCATAATTGCTTCAAAAAAAAAGAGTTGCTAATACAATTTATAGCAAAAAAAAAAAAAAAATATACTGTGTTGCAAATTAAATCTAATACAGTCGGTTTAAAAAAAAAAACAAAAAGAGACTAAGACACATATGAACAAGAGTAAGCACACACAAGTTTATGATGTGTTACTTAAATTGGTCGAATATTAACTAATGATCCATACGTAAAGAAAACATATTTCAATTTTAATAAACCTTTTTATACACAATTTTGGTTTTTTTTTTCTCTGCTTTATCATCCTTCGCTGATGAATCGACAGCGCCGACCTATATGGAAAAAAAAAAAAAATAATAAATAATAAAATAAAATAAAATAACGAGCAGAAAAAGATACATTCGTACGTGACATACATTCTCTTTAATAAACATTAATGCTTCCTCTCTGGTGGTGTGCTCACAAATAACTCACCGGTGAACTCAAAAAATGCGTGAAAATAAAATTAAGCGTTTTGAATATTGCATAAATGGGTATAACGATGTAGATATAAAAAAATTTAAAGGAGTAAAACAGGCCCAAGTTGATGACGAAGGACAAAATCAGAACGTCTGTGTAGTACCTAGGGGAAAAGAAATGGGAAAAAAAAAAAAATATATATTTTAACTGCATATAATTATTATGTACTCCCTTGATATCTAACAAATGTGCGCTCAACATTGGAGGTTCCATTAGACAGCAGTTGTCCATCTGCATGTCGTTTTCGCAACCATGAAATGAAACTTTAATTTAGTATTTTGGGAAGGCGCACTTCATTATATTGATTTATTTGCACATGTTCATTTCGCTCGCTTCCTCCTTACGTAAAATTTAGTCCGTTGGTCAACCCATAGTGTATATTCTTTATTGAGTAGTAGTAGCAAAAAAAAAGCAGGCAGTGCAAAAGGAAAATATTTCTTGTAATTAAGTTATATCTGAAATAATATGCGAATATAATATAAAACAACTGTAAAGGAAAAAAAAAAAAAAAAAAATTAAAAAATATAGCTAAACGGATGAATTTTGCGAAGCGAACAAAGCAATAAATACCAGTCCGCTTCAAGCGGTTGTATGCCTTAATGGGGTCAAGAACACTCGCTGATTCCCCACTTTTCCACGTTTGGGGCTATTTTCCATGTGTATCTCTTTTTATACCGAAAAAATGGTAAAAAACGGGGAGGCATACACAATGAATGCGCTCGCTTTTTTTAGTCGCTTTTTCTCAGATTGTCCTGCCATTATTTCTCTTCGTTTTTTTTTTTTTGGGGGGGTTTTCTCTTTTGGTACATTGGTATGCTTATATGCTTCTCTACTTCTTTTCTTTTTCTTCTTCACTCAACCCTATTCTGCGCTGAGCTTCTAACCGCGCTCCTTTTCAATTAAGTATGCCTTTATTCCTTTTTAATCTCTGTGCTATTACTCAAAAAACGATCAGATAAAGGTCATATTAATAGTGCGCATAACTCCTGTTTATTCAAATATTCGTGAAGAAAAAAAGTGGCAACATGAAATTATGGAAAACGGGCATATCAACGAATGTTTACATATTCTGGTGCACCTTTCTTCGCAAAAAAAATAATAAAATAATATGGCATGCTTTTTTTTATTTTCAAAATGCCATTTGAAGAACAGAAAAAAAAAAAAAAAAAAAAAAAAAAAAAAAAAAAAAAAAAAGGAAAATATTATCAAAACAAGAATGGCAAAGGGGAATAAACAAATTTGGGACAACGGTGAACAAAAGAAAGCCATTTAAAATTCACCTTGCGCAAGGAAGGAAAACAGTCGTATGGAAACTTTCGCGGATCATAACTTCTTTTCGCGCGCCATTTTAAAAAATTAGCCCCTAACGGTTATATATCTATTACGTGCGTATGAGGCGTACGAATAAGTACAAATGCGAATACCTTCACATGGGAAATTTTTCGCACGTATACACAATAATATATGTGGACAGACCATTCAAAGGTAGGTCAACTTTTCACTTTTTAGAACATTTTATTTTATATTTATTCATTGTTTAGTTCAAAATCGTTTTATATGTGTTCTTACAAAATGTAGGGGGGGCGGCATAAAGCATATGCACAAAGGTTGGAGCAGTATATGTGTACAGGTACATAAAAACATGCACACGTGCATGCATGGAAATGAAATGGGTAGGTAAAAATGGTTGTAACAGTTTATATAATAATGGGGATTTTTTTTGTCTTTATCATCTTTATATATATAAAAGAAAAAATGATGAAGTTGCAACATTTGTGCAGTTGAAATGATTTCTGGGGTTAGCATACTTTTTATACATACAAGAAAAATTATGCATATATATATACTTTATAGGGAGAGTAGGGAGGAGAACTTAACTGAAAGCAAGAAGAGCTAAATAGGGAGAACTCGCTCGTGTGTCTTCTTTGTTGTTCTCTGTTTAGCTCGCCTTGTTTTTCTTTGTAAAACACGATTAAAATGGAGTGGCAGGACGTGGGCATATACCCACAAGTCACTTGTGCATTTATATAAGCGTACATGTAAACGTATTATATACGTTAAAACTTTCGAGGGTCTAATAATTTCATGGACAGGAGGTGATAAATATACATATATATATCTGCGAAATGGATTGTGGACAGGTTTTTTCCTTCGGCTTCTATGATGGGGAGAATCGCGCTACTTCTATGTGGGTGTGTAGGCTTGTTAGCGCGTTGGCGCCTTATAGTTGCGTGGTACGCATTAAATGCATCAGCTTGCTTGCATGTTCTATACGTCTTCTTTCGTGCCTTCGCACACAACTGGGTCACCATTCCGGCCACACAGTGAGAGCGGGTTGGGAAGCAGGTCCATGGGGGTATAAAGCACCGGTTTCTCATGCACTGATATGCATAGGCGGGTACGTGACATATGCACATACATATATACACATGTACATATATATAAATACATCCATTCACGTGCGCAAGTACATGGGCAGAAGGAGCAAGGGGAGTATAAACCTCTACGACGCTTCCGCTACACCTCTCTGTGGCCACCATCACTTTAGGTCTTTCAAAAGAATTTCATAAAGCCTCTTTTCTTCTTCTTGAATACAGTGAAGTCTCCACCTCCATCAGAAGGATCTTCATTCTTCGCCTGCTCGTTTTTTGTTATATCTTTGCCGTTGGTCATTTTTTCCTTCTCCTTTGCATGATTGTGGTTTCCTGCGTCAGAGTTGTTATCTGAGTGGGTTTCCTTGTGTTTCTCCACCCTAGCAGAGTCATCTTTATCATGCATGTCATGATTCTTCTTTACATCCACGTCGTTTCTTTCATATTCATCCTCGTCCCTGTCTCTTCTCCTTTCCTGTTCGCTTTTTCCACTTCTTTCGCCTTTTTTATAGTCCCTGTCTAGTTTATCATCTCGGTCGTTTCTATAATCCCTATCTCTTCTGTACTCATCGTCCCTTCTGTAGTCCCTATCTCGGTCTCTTCTGTAGTCTCTGTCCCTGTCTCTTTCCTTATCTCGATAACTTCTATATTCTCTGTCTCTTCTATAATCCTTGTCCTTTCGGTATTCTCTATCCCTAGACCTTTCCCTTTCTCTATCATTGGATCTGTCCCTCCTGTACACCTTATCCTTTCTGTACCTGCTATCTCGTTCGCTATCCCGTTCCCTGTCCCTTTCTTTGTCCCTGCCAGGCCAATCTCTCCTTTCACGTCTGTCGGATGTATCCCTGTAGGAGCTATCCTGTGCATCGTCGAGTCGTTTATAATTATTATCCTCGTCATGTTGGGAGCCTCCCTTTTCACCCCTTTTCCATGAAAAGTCATCTTCGTAAGAAGATTTCCTGTAATATTTATCTCCGTTCCTGGATTCTTCTTTTTGTTTTAAGAGTTGTTGTTCAATTTCTAAATCCCTTTCCCTTTGAATTCTGCTAATTTCATCAAGTTTTTTTCTATGGGCTTCTTCTTTCTTTTTCCCTTCCATTTCTTCCTTCATTAATCTTTCCTCTTCTTCTTCCCTTCTTTTCCTTTCTTCTTCGGCTTTGAGTTTCCTCAAATGTTGTTCCCTCCTGTCTCTGGCCCTTTGCACCTTTTCATCCTTTAATAATTGATGGAGTCGATCCTTTTGGTCTTTCAGATTTTTCTCAAACTCCACAATTCTATCTTTCATTTCGCTCTTTGTAAATTCTTCAATATCGTTGGAGAATTTGACGTACTCTTCTTTTTCCTTGAGTGCAGCTTCAAAGTCGGCTTTCTGTTCTTCCTCCGCTGCTTTCTGCTCCTGTAGCAAAATTTCCGTATCCTCCTGGAAAACGAGGGCTATCCATTTGTTCATATGGCTCAATTCAACTTGTCTTAATGCTCTAAAATAATGATCCACCTTTTTATATTCCATTTTTCTAACTTTGATAATTTCATTTCTTTCATTTAGTCTTAACTTCTCCTGTGCCTCTTCAATATCTTCAAAATCTACGTAACCGTTGAGGATATCGTCAATGGTAATTTCGTCAAGGTATTTTCCTTTCATTAAAATTTTGGTTGTATTGTTAGTACATAATTTCTTAATTTCCTTTAACATTTGTTCAGCTGCTTCTGATTTTTTCTTCGCTTTTTCTTCTTTAATTCTTAGCTTTTCTCCTTTTTTGGCTAGCTCTTCTCTTTTTTCCTTTTCCAATTTTTCTTCCAATAATTTTTTCTCCATTTTTAATTTTAATTGTGCTTGTTCTAATTCCTTTTGCTTCCTCAGCAGCTCCTTCCTCTTTCTGCTATTTTCTTCACTTAGCAGTTGGAACTTGTGATGTTCTTCGTCAATTTTGTCGTAAATCTTTTTGAGGAGTTTTTCATCTTCAATTGGTTTATCCTCAAAAACTTCATATTCGATTATGTCTTCAATGTTAGCTGTGTCATAATTCATTATTTTATGGTGTCCTCTATCTAGCATATCAAATTCTTTTTCATAGGTGAGTTTTTTCATGTGTAGATGTTCCACTTCATTCTCAATGGAAATCGTTTCGTTTATCATTTTCAATCCAGTTTGTAATTGATGATAAAGATTTGTGAGCGACTCTTTGATTAATTTGCTGCTATTTATATTTTCCTTATCTCCAAAATAAATAGCTCTTTTAATTAGGTCGATTCTCATTTCTATCTCCTTCTGATAAACCAAGTCGACTAACATTGTTTCGGCCTCATTCCATGGGATGAAGGATTCTGGGCATATATTCTCAATAAAATAATCGATAGAGATATAACTGTACACCTTGGATAGTTGTAAAATTAATTTGTGGAAAATCACTTCCTTAATTTTGCTTATGTACACTTTGTGTTCCGTAGCCTCCAACTCCTTCAGCAGCACATCGCACTCTAGACATAAGCTTAACGGAGTAAATTGGTTTTCTATCAGGGAATACAACTTTTGTGCATTGCTATCCGCATAACTTAAAATGTTTCTAACCTTTAGTCCATTTTTTAAAGACTCCTTTATTGGTACGCTATTGTGGCCTAACAACTGGGACATTTTCTTATGTGCTTCAAATATCTTGGCATAATCTTCGTTTTTTTTTTTATTTCCAACAAACGGAATGGACACCACAGCTAAAACAGCCTTCGTGCATATAAAAGTTTTCTCCTCTTCTGGAATATTTTTACTGTAATTTAAGACGTGGAAACAGTACTTCAACCAGGCCAAGCCATGAAACAGTTCGCTATCGTACACAAATAAAATGTCTGCCATTCTTTGGTAAAATGTTC